TTTGGAAATAGACTGCCAGAAAGTCCAGTAAGCTCCAGAGAGTCCCAAAGAAATTTGACCCAAGAAGAAATACACCAAGGCACATCATAATTACATAACCCAAGAATAAAGACAAGGAGAGAATCTGAAAAGCAGCGAGAGAAAGGAGACAGTTGCCTACAAAGGAGTTCCCATAAGACTAACAGCTGATTTCTCAAAAGAAATCTGGCAGGCAAGAAGAGGCTGGAAAGAATTATTCAAAATCATGAAAGGCAAGGACCTCTATTGAAGATTAGTCTATCCGCCAAAGCTATCATTTACAATGGAAGGGCAGTTAAAGTTCTTCCCAGATAAGGTCAAGTTAAAGGAGTTCATCATCACCAAGCCCTTTATTATATTAGATGTTAAAGGGCCTTATCTAAGAAAAAGAACATGATCAAGACTATGAACAGTAAAATGACAACAAACTCACAACTATCAACAACTGAACCTGAAAAACAAAGACAAAAACTAAGCAAACAACTAGAACAGGAAGAGAATCACAGAAATGGAGATCATATGGAGGGTTATCAGCTGGGAGGGGGCAGGGGGAGAATGGGAAAAAAGGAAGAGGGAATAAGAAGCATAAATGGTAGGTACAAAATAGACAGGGGGAGGTTAAGAATAGTATAGGAAATGGAGAAGCCAAAGAACTTATATGTATGACCCATGGGCATGAACTAAGTGGGGGAGGGAAATGCTAGAGAGGAGAGGGGTGCAAGGCAGAGGGGGGAATTAAGGGGAGAAAAATGGAGCAACTGTAATAACATAATCAATTATATATACATTTATAAAATAAAATAAATGTATTCATGTTATTGCAAAAAAATAATACAAAAAATAAAGAAGCCCTTTGGAGTCAAACACCCCTCTACCTCTCTCTCTCTTATAGGATTGTAGGTATCATAAAATTAACCAATTCTTCTGAAATAGGGAATTGATAATTGATTATAATTGTAGACTTTATTGGGGTATCTACCTCCATCCACGTTACTTTTCCATAATAGAGCTAAAAACTTGCATTCTATAGTATGAAGCATAAGTATATCTCTACTGGGAAGATAATTTTTAAGATCTTGAAGAAAGAATAAAGATTTTAAATTCTTTCAAGATAATAGCCTATGCCTTAGGACAGTGGTTCTCAAAGTTTGGAAGCTTATCTGAGTTCTGTGGGAAACTTGGTAAAAGTAAAAAGACCCAGACTCTACCCTATTTTAGGAACTCGGGCCTCTGTAGTTTAGTAGTTCTTCACTTAATTTTATCTTAAGATTTTATTTTAATTTTTTTATAGAGAAAAGAAGGGAGGGAGAAAGAGAGGGAGAGAAACATTGATGTTCAAGAGAAACATTGACCCATGGCCTCCTGTGTGCCCCCAACCAGGGACCTGGCCTGCAAATTTGGAAACCATTGCCTTGGGGCATCCATAGGTCAGGGTAGCTGATTACTCTTAAAAGGATATCTTAATAGAAGGGAGTGGATTATTCATTTTTTAGGATTTGAGATATCCATTCATTCAATTGAACTGAAAAGTACTGCCTGCCAATGAGATTATGGACAAAGTCTTCTATTTTTTCTGGGCTGTCATCTCATGATATTTGGGGGGCTGGTGCTGGTTAGAGTTCTAACAAAAATGGATGGTACTTTAAAAAATATGGAAGCCTCAATTCCCTCTTTATTGGAAGTTTCAAACTTCAATATACAAATGAATCACCTAAAAACCATGTTAAAATGCAGAATATGATTCTGTAAATCTGGGTAGGGCCTGTGATTCTATAGTTCTAATAGGCTCCCAGGTAGTGATGATGGCTGTTGATCTGAGGAGCAAGGTGCTTGCTTTGGTTCTCAACCTTGGCTGCACATTGGAATTTTCTGAAAAGTTTTAAAAAACACTGATCCCTAGGGCCCACCACTGGAGAGTCTATTTTTTTTTTATGTAATTGATAGAGATTATGGCTTGGGCATCAAGAGTTTTAAAAACAGGAAAAATATATTACAGTTTTAAAAACTCTTGAGATAACTTTCATGTGCAGCAAAATTTGAAAACCCTTGTTTTAGTCAACCATTAAACATCACCTGTTTTGCAAGAGAAACTATAAAGTGGCTCTTTTATTCACTTTCATGCTTTATTATACAATAATATACAATGTGCTTATATAGTTCAGAGCACTGGTTCCCAAGTCCTGACCTCTCCACTGATGTCCTGTCATGGGAAGTTTCTTTTTTTTTTCTTTTTTTTTTAAGATTTTATTTATTTTTAGAGAGGGAAGGGAGGGAGATAGAGATAGAGAGAGAAACATCAATGTGCGGTTGCTGGGAGTCATGGCCTGCAACCCAGGCATGTACCCTGACTGGGAATCGAACCTGCGACACTTTGGTTCGCAGCCCGCGCTCAATCCACTGAGCTACGCCAGCCAGGTTTGGAAGTTTCCATCAGAAGTGGTCAAATAAGAAAAATAAAAACAATATAGTGAATTTTATAAAGCTAAATTAATTCAATTTCAAGTATCACTTTTTGAGATTAGTTCATACCTTTTTTGGTATCAAAATGTCCTTTTATTAGGTGGAGAGACTAACATATTATATGTATTTATGTGCTTGTTTCTCATGTCCCTAATTTACGAAACAAAAAGGTGGGAATCTTATGTTGATCTTTATCTGTTTTTGAAAATTTTGCTGATCCATAAAATTTGAAAATTGGGGAACAATGGGTATGAGAAAGCAATGAAAATTTGAAAAAAATATTAGTCTAGGAAATGTTATCATAAGAATATAGTTTTTAATCTTTGATTCTCTAATCCCTGGGAGCAAGGAGTTTATTTAGTGATCCTTGAATTTTATAAGTACCAACAGTTTTCTACAGACCAAGTAAATACTATGTCTCAGATATATAAGAGGGACTAATTTTCAAAATACACAGGGCAGGGCAAAAGTAGGTGTATAGTTGTTCAAATGGAAAATAATACAATAATTAGTAAATGATAATACAAGAATAAACTGTGTTTCACATACTCACAACTGTAAACCTACTTTTCCCCCACCCCATATATGATCATTAAAATACAAACTTATAAAGACCTTACTAAATAATACTAGCTTTTGTTTTTTTCATTTTTTGACACAGTAATATTATCTACTATTTTTTTTATCTCTTACTCTGAATAAGGCATCATACTATGCATTTTATATACCTAGTGGTAATTTTAACAATAGCCTAGTGGGATAGATATTGTTATTATGGTTTTACAGATGAAGAAACTAAATCATAGACAAATTAAATAACATGTCCAAAGTCACACAGCTAGTAAGTGACAGAGCCAGATTTAGAACCCAAGACTATTGGATATCTTTTAATCATGACTCTATATTTAATATAACAACTACCATGAAATGATTTCCAAAACTTTTCGCCTGATTATCCAAAGGACACATATGTACAACCCATGGACACAGACAATGTGGTGATAGCCAGAAGGAAAGAGGACTGGGGTCTGGGAAGAGGTGTGCAAAGGGTGGGGAATGGGGACATCTGCATACTGTCAATAAAAATAAAGGAAAAATAAAAAATAAAAAGAATAGTTCCTTAAGACTAAAATGATTAAAGCCTCTGTTGTGAGTGTTTACCTTAAGTAATAAGAAACAAAGATTTTAAACAAAAGGACATTCTTGCTATTTTTGAAGCTTTAGCTGAGGGACAACCATTATTCTGACATATGGAGAGAATTTCAAATCTGGATCCTAGATTCTCCTTTCAGATTTTTATCATCTGAAAATTTGAAGCTATGTGTTGTAATGGTAAGAATATGGACTTTTGAGTTAAATTGATTTGAATATGAGCTCCTCCAAATTAATTAGCTGTGATTCAGGGCAAGTTACTTAAGCTGTGTCTCAGGTCCTTCAGCTATGAAATGAGAACAATAATATCCATACTTCTATGAATTGTTTGCATTTGTGGCCATGATTTGATGTGTGTTGCTTTCTTGGTAGATGTGTGTGTGTGTGCGTGTGTGTTGTATGATGTTGAACACTATGTCTTTTGCAGAGATGCTGAGAGTTATGCAGAGTGCAGAGACAAGGGCTAAATGCCTTCTGAGGCTCATTGCTGTCTGTGTCAGTTTAAGTTCACTGGCTGGAATGAGATACACAGGAGATGTATTTGGGGAAACAATTGTAAAGGATTAAGGAGACAGCAAGCAGCAGTAGCCAGGGAGAGCCTTCAGAGGGTGATGCAGGTCTGACCCCAGTGAAAGGAGAGGAGATAGGAAGAAGGATAGAAAGAACCTCAGGCACACTGAACTTCAGAAATTCTCAGCCAGGCTGATGAGGAGCCCCACCAGACTACCCAACAGAAAAATCCCATGTCAGGCAGAATGGCCCATCTCTGGTGCTCCCATCATGCTCATTGGTGGGAACAGCCTGGGGAGAGTGGGGCCTTGAAAGGAATGCTGAAGAGGATTCTGAAGGTACAGCAGCTGGGGACTTTGAGTTAATGGCACTCCTCCCAGAAGGTTTTCTCTTGTAAGGCAATGTGCACACCTCCTGCATGGGTGCCACACCTGTACTTTCAACATTATAGTGAAAATGTATATTTCTCTGTGGGATTATATAAAAGAAAATTAGTTACATGCCAGGTCATTAATATTTCTTGGTATATCTTGATTTTGGTCTTGTCCCTTTTGTCTTCACTAATTGCTTATTAATTATAATTCATCATTATGACTGTGAGGCCCACAAATGATTTCTTATCTCTGTAAAAAAATAGTAAAATCACCAGTCACCATTTAAGATGTCAGTGGAACAACACTTGGCTTCTATAATGACTACATGTTTATCATTAGCTTTTAAATCTATTGTGTTAATAGGTAGTTGTAACTTACTGAAAATTATAATTTATCAGTATTTCTTATTACTGTTTAAAATTCTGTATTAAGGAATGAATTATTAAGTATAATTAACTTAGATTATCTTGTCTTGAATTGCTGTAGTGTGTTATCTAGCATGACAGATGCAGTGTTGGCTCGAGTATATAAACAATCAGATCTGGACATCCTGGCTAAAGAAGCATCCATCCCCATTGTCAACGGGCTGTCAGATTTGTACCATCCTATCCAGATCCTGGCTGATTACCTTACGCTCCAGGTTGGCTTATTTCCTTGCATTATACAAAAGCAAAATCAATAAATAGTCCTTGACTAGCTCTAAATATAACTGTTTCAATGATGGTATTAGTGTTTTGTTTTTAAATATTATATTGGCAAAGAATTATAGCATGTTTATATACTAGATATTCAAGGAACATGGCATATTATAAGAGCTTTTTGTTCTTAACTGGATTCCCAACCTCTTTAAGCCCCTCTTTCATCCCCTGTTCTTTCAAGCCTTTTGCTTTCTGGTGCCATATATAACACAGTGGAATAGGGAATGCTGGAGCATACAGAATGAAAAAGCTTTATGTAATCCTCCACATATCAGGCTTTGTGGCTTGGGAGCAAAGACTGGTGGAGTATGCTTTGCATATGCAAAATGGTCAATTATGAAATTACCCTCTGAGAAGAAGACAATTTTCTATCATTTTAATAAACTAATTATTTAAAACTGGAGTTAAGAACATGCAGAATACATAGCATTGAGGCTCACATTTAGCCAGGTATACCAAATTAGGAACTTGAATAACTAACTTTGAAAGATTTATCTTGTTTGCCTTGTCACAGACAATCTATGTAGTTTTGCCACTGGGAATCCTGAAAACCATGGTTTTGGTGTCTATGGACTATTCTGGGGAGACAGGAAAAACTGGATAGGTCTATATTATGCCTCATTGAATAAGGTACATACAAATGTGAGGTTAAATTCAAAATTAAATTTGTTGGTGATGAGGATAACATTTATGCAGAGAGGATAATACAATAATATTAGATACCAAGTGGTTATTTGTGGATGTGGCCTTACATATATACCAGATAATTTAATGTTTTTCCCTGGGGCTTTATTATTCCTAGATTATAAACTTATTCAGGCACAGTGAAATGTCCTGTTCATCATATTGTCCCCTGCAGGACCTGGTGCAATGCCTTCATATAAGAAATCCTCAAAGTGAGAGTTGAATGACTAAATAGCAACTTATTAAGAACATGGAATCTTCCCTGGCTGGTGTGGCTCAGTGGATTGAGTTCTGGTCTGTGAACCAAAGGGTGGCTGGTTCGATTCCCAGTCAGGGGTTGCGGGCCAGGTCCCCAGTAAGGGGCGAGTGAGAGGCAACCACACATTGATATTTCTCTTCCTCTTTTCCTCCCTCCCTCCCCCTCTCTCTAAAAATAAATAAATAAAATCTTTAAAAAAAACAACAACATGGAATCTAAATCAGATGGACCTGGATTTAAATCCTAGCTTAGCCACTTAGTCCTGTGATTTCTAAATTGCTTAGCCTTTATTTTTTTATAAACATAAAAAAGCTATAAAACCTATAGCTACTTCATGAAAAATAAATCAAATACTCACATGCCTATCATATAGTTTTGTCAAATCTTACCTTAGGATTTTTTTTGTTGTTTTTGAATAAAATATTAGAGATACAATTAAAGCTGACTGTGTGACTCTCCCTGATCTCATTTCTTCCCACCCCACAAGGAAATTATTATCCCAATGTCTGTATTTATAATTCCTAGGCATGTATTTATACTTTAGCTACACATCTCCATATCTGTAAACAGCTCAGAGTATTAATGAAAATGTTTTTCAACTTTATATACTTGGGAACATACTCAACTACCATGCTACACTGTTCTAGGTACATTGTATTTCTCTTTTCTTACAATAACAAATGTAAGGTCCATAAAGGTAGGAATTTATTTTCTCTTTTGCTCATTGTTACATCTCCAGGGCCAAGGAAAGTGGACATGGATGGTGCTTAATTTGTTGAATGAATGAATACAATAGAGATTAACATTTGAAAGTTTGAAAATATAACTGTTCATATGAGTTCATATGATGTCTTGGTTTAAGATATGAGGACATTTTGCTATTTTTTGTGATTGTACATTCATGTTATTTAATCGCTCTGTATAATGCAAAAAAAATAGTTGAATCATTCCAACAAAGCTTTAAAATTGGAATGAAGATGGTTTCTTTTATTGTAACCCTAATAATTGTTTCACATAAGTGGATTTCCTCCTATGTATAATCTCTTCCATTCTTGCCTTCTAGGAACACTATGGCTCTCTGAAAGGCCTTACCCTCAGCTGGATTGGAGATGGGAACAACATCCTGCACTCCATTATGATGAGTGCAGCAAAATTCGGAATGCACATTCAGGCAGCTACTCCAAAGGTAGGGGAACTTTGTGCCTTGAAACTGACCTCCCCTTTAAGTCATCCCCAGATGCAGTTAGCCAGTGAAAGCAAACCTCTCCACCATTCAAGAGCACAGGTGAGGCTACAAAATTTAGGTTATATTACCAGCCCTACTGTTATAGCTATTTGGCTTCTCGAGTGCCCACTTTCCCATCTCTGCAAAGTGATGTGGTTGTGGCTTTTACCTTTCATCCTATGAGTCTGTGTAAAAGCATGTCTGAATTATCCCCTCAAACCAGCCATTGAAATCAGCCATTGTGATGATCGGCATCCTTGTACATTGGTACCACAAAGGCTGAAGAAAGCAATAAAATCCAGACAGCATAGAACTCACAAGGCATGGGGAGAATGCTGTCATTTTTCTAGTGCAGTTGTCCTCCCTTATCCATGGGGAATACATTCCAAGACCCCCAGTAGATGCTTGACACTGCAGAGAATACTGAACTCTATATAGACTTTTTTTCCCTATACATATACCTATGATAAAGTTTAATTTTTAAATTAGGCCCAGTAAAAGATTAACAACAATAACTAATAATAGAATAGAACAATTATAACAATATCCTGTAATAAAAGTTATGTGAATGTGGTCTCTCTCTGAATATGTTATTGTGCTGCACTCCCTTTTCTTATGACAATGTGAAATAGTAAAATGCCTACATGATGAGATGAAGTGAGGTGAATAAGACATTACTAAGTAAAATAAGGACTACTTGAACATAAGCCCTGCAATACCTCAACAGCTGATCTGGTAACCAAGACAGCTATAAAGTGAATAAGGGCAGTCAGTGTATACAGCATGAATATGCTAAACAAAGGGATGATTCACATCCTGGATGAGATGAGAGGGATGGTGTGAAATTTCATCATACTGTTCAGAATGGCACACAATTGAAAACATACCTGTCGTTTATTTCTGGAATTTTTCATATAGTGTTTTTGGACAATGGTTGACTGTGATATAAAAATGTTGATTTAATGTGAAAGTCACAGTGATGGCATCTGTACCAGCTTAGTTCTTCAAGTTCAACTTGAGGGACTCATAAGCTTTTAAAATTTCAGTCCCACATGGCTGTGAACCTGATCCCCACATACTTCCTACATTACTGCTAATCTCTCATAGAATGCACAGGAAGCAGGACTTCTTTCAGAGGTCTAAAGTGATGCTTCTGAGACATAATGAACTGGTAATATACTGTAGCTGTTGCTCTGAGAAGGGGAACTGGGAGGTTAAAGAATAGAGGTAGGAGGAAGACTTTCTTTTCACGGTATATCCCTTTATATGGTTTGAATTTCTTAACATGTGAATGTTTTACCTACATAATAACATAAAAGCACAAATAAATATACTAAAATAAAACAGTGCAGATTCTCCTAGGACAAGCCCTAGATTACTATACCTGCAGCTTCATTCAAAATAAATAGGCCTTTTAGAGGATAAAAATTAACCCTACAATAGACTCATACACAAAGCAGTCCTGAAGGATTCCCACAAAATCTTTTGAAATATCTCATCTCTACTGAATTGTTTTCCCCATTATGTTTTTACTGAATACTAATATTCTATCAGGAGTCTTTTGAAAGGAAACTTCCCCTAAATAGAACCCATTCAAAAAGAAAGTAAAAGATAGAATTGAATATCTCATTATTGATGACTAGTCACAATTATTGTGCACCAGTATGTTTCTAATCAAGCATGTGTTTGCTATTATCTCAATAGTCACTGCTGTGGTTTACTCTGATAAGCTAAGATATTCAGAGGTAAATATTTGAGGAATGAAAATTCCTCCCAGCTTTTGCTTCTTGAGTTTGAGATGTTTATTTGTCAATCACTAGTAACTTGAATTTCAAAATGTGGATTAATAGCTGCATTTTTCCAATAGGAAATATTCCAGTCCTTGAGGTATTCAAGCACCCAGTATTCACCCCCATCCTCTACCAATGTCTTGGGCCAGGTTCTCCATAACGAGACCCCCATGAAGATTTATATACAAGTGATTTATTAAGGAAGTACTCTTAAGGAAAGCCTGTAAGGTAATAGGGATGGCAAAACACAGAAGGGAAGAATCTAAGCAAGAATTCCATTTACAGTGACCAACCATTCTGGTTTGCTCAAGTGTAGAGATTTCTGGGGACATGGGACTGTCAGCACTAAAACTGAGATAGTCCTACGCAAACCAGGATTATCTGGTTACTCTAGTGCTATGTCAGGCACAGTCTCACAAAAGGGATCTTCAGCTTGATTTCACAGGTGCTCTGGAGTATAAGTTATACCCCAGAGTTATTCCAGCCTGGGGAAAGGAAAGTGGACTTTCATTCTTTCATCCTTAGAACCAGTCCTTGGTCAAGTGCAGCAAGGGGACATGGGGTGACGAATCTCCTGTCACTTCTGGCAAGAAAGGCAGCCGGTAGCCAGAGGGTCATTTTCTGAAGAAGAGTAGTTCTCCATGTGAAAAGCACACTGAAATGTGGAGAGGGAGCAAAGGACCTTCTGATGGCATCTGGGTAGAGCATCAGCATTGTCTGCTACATCCTGCCAGCAAAACAAAATAAAACAAAATGGTTTTCCCTAGTGTTGTTGCTGGATCAGTTTGACTCAATGTACTCTGCTGCCTTAATTCACAGGGGCTAACAAATTATCACAATTTTGGTGGCTTAAAACAACAGAAATTTATTATTTCATTTTTTTATTCTAGAAACCAGAAGTCTAAAATCAAGGTGCTGGCAGGGTCATACTCTTTTTGAAGCCTCTAGGGAAGGATTCTTCCTTGTCTCTTTCCACTTCTGGTGGCCCCAGGTATTCCTTGGTTTGTGGTTGCATCACTTCAACCTCTGTCTCCATCTCCTTCCCTTCCCGTCTGTCTTTCTCTTTACAAATGTTCCTCTTTTATGAAGACATATTAAATTTAGGCCCATCCTGATCCAGTATGACCTCATCTTAACTAATGACATTTGCAAGCACCCTACTTCTAAATAAGGTAACATTCTGAGATTCTGGGTGGGAATGAAGTTTTTGGAGGACACTATTCTGCCTAATATACTTGCTATAGAAGAGAAAAGCAGTCACCCTATTATAGTAAACTTTTGGGACTCAGAAAGATAATTCTTATAACAGATAATTCTCTTTTGCTCAGCTTGAACTGAAATAAAGGTCAGATTTAAGCATAAGGTGGTGCTTCTTCACTTTATGGGAAGAATTAGTACTCTCACTACAAATCCAGTTTGAGGAAATGCTGTATTAATGTGAACTATTACTGCAGTTAGTTTTACAGATAAAACATACATTAACAATAATTGTTCCTTGCTATAAGATGTTTTTGAAAAGGATTTATTTTGTTGGAGAAATATGATTTAAACATTTTACTGCATGTCAAAGATGTTTTATTAGCATCAAAGGAAAAAATCCTGATGTTAAAGAGTAATTTCAGCATTGTTCTTATGCATAAACTCATTTAAATGATAAAGTGTACCAAAACCTGGTTAATTCTTAGTGTCAGTAAGAGTTTTAAAATGTTTTCTGGAAAGTCTGATAGTGTAGAAGTCATTCTACTAATTTATAAGTAGACCTATTTCCTTTAAAGATAGAGGTAGGAGATTTATTGTAAATTTAAGAAGCACAAAAAGTTTCCAAGGCCATAATTAATCTATTTCCCCATTCTTCAACCAAGAATAACTTACATGTTCAAGAAAACATAATTTTGTCCTTGATTGTAAAATTGCTCCATAAACTATTGATGGTAATGATTTTAACATCATTCTAAGTGGATATTTAGACTGAACTGGGTTTGTTAATCATCTTCCTCCTCTGGTTTTAACATTTATGTAAAAACCAGTGAGTGATTTAGTATTGAAAGCTAGCTGTGAATAAAGAATTCCACTTTGTATTCTCAGTCATGGCCCAGTGCATGCAAGGTTGGATATTTTTCTAATTTCCAAACCTCTCCATTGGTTCTCTAGGTGCTTATTGATTCCTTCTCTAAGGATGATTATACTTAGGGAGCACAAAAACCTGCTCTTCAAAGGAAAGGCTAGATTTTCAGGGCAGGAAGCACATGAGGTAATAGCCAAATCTTTTCATTTATGTATACCAGTATGAATGCTCATAACATTGTTACCAAATTACCAAACCTTTATAAATTACCTTCCCAAAATCCTGATAAATAAAATTCCAAAATGTATGGCTGCTTAAAGGGTAGTAAAGCTGCTAAAATTTCTGTAGCCATGATCATAAATATCTGAATAGCTTTTTTAAAAAAACCCTTATCCTAGGATCTGTTGATTGATTTTAGAGACAGAGGAAAGAAGAGAGAAAAACATCTATGTGAAAGAGAAACATCAATTAGTTGCCTCCTGTACATGAGTGGAGATCAAACCCACAACCAGGAATTGAACCCAAAACCTTTTGGTATACGAGATGATGCACCAACCAACCAAGCCACTCATCCAGGGCTGAATAGTTTCTTTCCTCAAGAATTTTGTAATGAGAGAAGGAATTATGGTAGACAATCATGTGCAAATACAAACAATTTTGAATGAATAAAGTTGAACATACATTTCATAGGTTGAGATTCCTGGGAAGCAGACTCTGAGACAGAATTTATCCCACATGATGTTTATCAGGGTGTGCCCTTGGGATCAACACCTATGCAAGGGAGGTAAAGGAAGCAGGAGTGAGCAGAGGGAGAAACCAAGCTGTGATGCAGCCCCAACAAGTGCTTCTGTTGACTTAATGGAGAGTTCTAGATCTGAGATGTCTATTCAGAGCTATTCTTAGGTGGGAGGAGGGAGTGTGGTTTTCATACCCTTCTGTCAACCACTCATGGAATCTGGCTCATCCTGCAAAAGTATGTGACCTTGGGTGCATCAGCTCCCTGCAGCTGAGGCAGTGCCCAAAGAAAGGTAGGAGCTGAAAGACATCTTTCAGCAACATGCCCAGCAGCTGGGGAATAAGTCCTTTATTCATAAATGTGAATCTGTGTGGCACATCACAGTGTCCACTACAATGCCCTACTGAGAATTTATACAAACCAACTTGTAATCAAAACTAAGAATTTAGGAAAATGAGAAGCATGAAGGAAAAAGTGAGAATAATTATGGTGTTTGGACAGACAAGACTTCCATATGGAGGGTGTAGAGGTTGAAGCTGGGCTGGAGTTTTGACAAAGGAGGAGCTGACATGTTCCTTTGAAGACACCAAGGAGGTGACAAAGTGGGTAGTGCTCAAGGGTAAAAGGCTGTGGTGGCAGAAAAGGGCTAGACATTTGCAGGAATGTCAATATGATAGGCTTTCCTACAGCAAGATGTTGGGAAAAATTAAAACAGACAGAAGCAGGGGATGTCAGTGGGGAGCCTTGATACTCTTAATCAGCTTTGACTTAAAAAACAAATAGTAAACATTGAAGTCTTCAGAGAAAACAATTCTTGTTATAATGTATAGAACAGATTGGAAGGAGAAGATGGAAGGAGAGGGGCCACCTGTAGGGTCTGGAATAGCATGAGGGTTTTAGTTGTTCTTATAATGTCCTCTCACCTGGAGTTGAGGCTAGGATGTGCAAGTCAGGTACCATATAGTACAAAATTTGTATTTGCAGGATTCTGACAGTGAGCACCTCCTTAGATTCTGTGTCCTAGGCACCTTGCTTGCCTCACTGAAGTCCTAATTCTTCTTTCACCAAACCATCCCAAACAAATATATTTTAGCAAAAACAGTGTGCTTGCTGTGTAAGTGCCATTTTTGAGCAAGTGCCCAGCACTCAGGACTCTTGTTGGTGAGTGCAAAAGAATGTGTGCATGTAGGCTGTTAGTATTTAGCTGGGGTGGTCACGGGGGCGGGGGGGGTTCTGAGTAGGAAATATTTAAACTGAGACTGGAAAGTGTTATCCACACGGAGTGGGTGTGGAAAAGCATTTCAGACAAAAGAGCATTTAAAAAAAACAGCTTGTGGAAAGACTCTGAGACAAAAATGCATAAGGTTGTACAATTATGTATATGATCCTCTTAAGCTATTAGAGGAATAAGAAGCAGTACAACCAAGTGCTAAAAAGCACCCTAGTCTGTTTGACTTTATGACTAAAGAGGCCAAAACAATAAAATAAAATGGGGCAATTGGTTATCTTTTTAAATGCCAAGGCACTATTAAGGTTTGATCAAAATATAAATATATACTGCTGAACATGGTTGTGTTAGAAATGGGAGAGAGATAGAGGCAGGAGGAGCAGGATAATCTGATCCAAGTGCCTTTATTTTATGCTGAGTTTACAGGTAAATTGAGTCTGGACTGATTGCAGCCCTGGGGGGAGGCAGGAATGGGTTTTTTAAAAGAAAAAGTGCATGTTTTGTATGGGAATGAGGGAAGGATTAGTCTCTTGTTCTTCTGGGCAGTTGCCTCAGGGTTTCAGGATGTGAGTAGGGATGGGTAAGGTAAGGGACCAGGCTGTTCCCAGGTATAGGAAGGTCATTCTGACCAGCAGCCATTACAGCTGGCATCAGATGTATATTGTTCTCAGTGGGAGAGAGTTTTGACTAAGTCGTGGGCTACCAAGTGAGTCGAAACAATTGAGTCATGAGTAGCCCAGGGAGTTGGAAACCTGGCCTGACTGGGTCATGAGCAGTCTGGCAGGTTGGGAAACTGGCCTGAACCTTTCAGTTTGCACTACAACTTAAAGCATAAAAAGGGAAGAAGATGGGAATATTGTTGAAAAGAATATAATCCTTATGTAAGAAATCATATAGAATAAAGTTACCTACATAACAGTTACATTCTTCCCCCTGCAGGGTTATGAGCCAGATCCCAGTGTAATCAAGTTGGCAGAGCAGTATGCCAAGGAGGTATGTTCCTATATATAATGTTATTATTGCCTTTATCTGTCCCACGTTTAATTGGCATGCTTGTGTATTCTAGAACAATACCAAGCTGTCACTGATGAATGATCCATTAGAAGCAGCTCGTGGAGGCAATGTATTAATTACAGACACTTGGATAAGCATGGGACAAGAAGAGGAGAAGAAAAAGCGTCTCCAGGCTTTCCAAGGTTACCAGATTACAATGAAGGTACAAAGTGATGTGTTTCTGAAGGTTGATCAAGTCTATTCATAAAGGCCAGAACCATCTAATCACTCATTCACTTTAGGAAGAGTAGACTGTCTGTTCGTTCCCTATGAAGGACCCACTGACTATATCCCCTAAAGAATTCTCTACCCCTGAAGATTAGCTATATCCTTTAGAAAGACATTTCTGTCCTGGTTGAAGGAAGTTGAAACCCAGGCAGAAGAAAGAAGCTAACTTTTCTCGCTCACATCAATGAAGGCTTCAAAATGCTTTACACTTTATATGTTTAGAGACATAAGGTTACTTCTGTCACATGCAGTTTCTTATGATTTCTTCTCTAAGTAATGTCCCATAACTATGTTCTTCAGGCCAGTCCTTGACTGTTTTCTAAGGACACAAGTCCATTTGAGTTTTTGCTAACTTCCTCCAGAGCGTTCCCAGGGGACTCCTATCTATTGTGATGCCTTTCATGAATATCTGAAGCAATGCTTAATGTTGAGCATGCATTAGAATTGTCTGGAGGAGGTGTTAATATACAGCTGGAAGGACCCCACTCCTACAGAGACACTGAATCACTAGGTCAGGGGTGAGGCCCAAGATTTGCATTTCTACCAAGTTCCCAGGTGATGCAATGCATCTGCTCAAGGGTCACCCTTTGAAAACCACTGTCCTAGAGGAAAACCCTAAAAGTCAGGTGGACATTGGGATTTTGTCAGCAGAGTAACTAATCTGTTTTAGTGAAGAAAAGGATTAAGTAGTTACAGTAGATATTTTATTGATAAAATATATAAATATAAGCTCCCTTTGTGTATATGACAATAGAATAAAGTTTGAAAAGTAAAAAGTGAAAATGTCTTTCCCCCTCCCCTTAACAGTGATTATTCCCAGAGGTAGCCAGTGTTTATCAATCTGATGTGTCTCTTTGCAGAACTTTTCTGTGTATTTATATATGCCTATACACACAACTATTGATTTATCATGCATGGTATATTACTCCAACTTATATTTTTCACTTATCCATTCATTTGGATAGTTTTCATTCTTTTAAATGGTTACATAGAGTTCCAAAGTATGAATGGACTATAATCCACTTAAAATGCTTCCTATTAAAAAATTAGGCTATTTACTTATTTTTTGCATTTTATTTTTTTCACATTTTTTATTGTTGTTCAAGTACAGTTGTCTCCATTTTACCCCCACCACTTCCCCCACCCCAGCTATCCCCACTTCCCACCCTTGATCCTACCCACTTCAGCTTTGTCCATGTGTCCTTTACAAACAATACTGAAATGAACATCCTTATATAAATTTCTTTTTTAAAATATATTTGATTATGCTATTACAGTTGTCCCATTTCCCCCCTTTCACTCCCCTCTGCCATGCACACCCCCTCCCACCCACATTCCCTCCCTTTAGTTTATGTCCATGGGTCATACATATAAGTTCTTTGGCTTCTACATTTCCTATACTATTCTTACACTCCCCCTGTCTATTTTCTACCTACCATTTATGCTACTTATTCTCTGTACCTTTTCCCCCTCTCCCTCCTCCCCCTCCCCTATTGATAACCCTCCATGTGATCACCATTTATTTCTCTGTGAAAATATTACTGGAGAATAAATCCCTAGATAAAGAATTTCTGGGTGAAATGGCATATACATTGTAAAACACGGGAAATGCTGCTAAACTGACCATCTGAAAAAGACCGACAACTTAATACTCCCTCCAAACTGTCTCCATCCTTAGTTATTTACATTTTTAATTTTAAAAATTTGTGTCTTGTATTTTTTTAAATTTGCATTTCACTGATTGCTAATGAAGTTAAACATCTTTTTGTGTATATTGGCCACTTCCATGTCTTTTTCTATAAGCCACTATCATATCCTCTGCCCATTTTCTATTTTTTGTTTTTTATTCTTGGTTATAGGAGTTATTTATAAATTATAGCTAATCCCTTGTCATATATGTGGCAAATATTTTCATGGAGATATTTTTTGTTTTTTAAAGTTGAATTTATTGAGGTGACACTGGTTGACAAAATTATATAGGTTTCAGATATACAATTCTATAATATATCATCTGTATATTATATTGTATGTTCCCCACCTCAAGTCAAGACTCGTTCCATCACCATTTGTCACCCCTTTACTCTCTTTTACCTCCCTCCATCCCTCCATTCCTTTCAGTAATCAACATACTGTTGTCTATTAGGATTTTTTTCTTAATTCCTTCACCTTTTTCACCCAGTTCCCCCACCACTTCTCCTCTGACAGCTGTCAGTATGTTCTCTGTATCCATGGAGAATTTTTAAATTCTCTGTGGTTTACCCCATACTTCCTTTGACAAACTTAGAAGTTTTTCCATGCTGGAACTGTAGACATAAAGAGCATTAATCTCACTGATGTATGACAGGTTCAAGTGTTATTATTTTCCCTTGTCACTTTTCCAGTATTTAGAAACTTAGAAGGTTCTGAACCTAGACCTAGAGTGGGAGGTAAAACAAATTTTAAATACAAAGGCAGTAATTTTGAGGTAGGAAATTATGATGAAATGTAGTTTTGAATCTGTAAGTGAACAGTGGAAATGGATGGAAAATGTAACTTTCAGGAATGAACTGCTGGAAAATATTAAAACTATTAGAACATTTGCATTAAGAATGAAACATCTAGTACAGTGCCCTTAACCCTGTTTAATACACTCCTATCTCAGTGCTCTTTTACAAAATTGTTTTAGCTGGTGATAAAGCATGCTTCAAGTGCTAAAATGCATAATTTGGAGATAAACTCAAAATACAACACAATCACATAAAAGAAACTTCTAAAATATACTGGTGTATAATCAGTGACTTTTGCTATCAGCCACATACTATACTGGTAGAGTTCTTTACTGAAATGTCCACTATCCCCCTAAACAGAGTACCAGAAACCTGAGTCAGTGGTTTAATTGAGAGTGATGATCTCCCAAATACAAAAATAACAATAAATTTCCAAGAGTTGAAAGTACCATATACATTTCTCCTGGGTGCCTTGAGCTTACACCCTTCTTTATCTCTTTGCATGCAGCTTCATCTGTCATTTTGCAATGATCTCTGACACCAGGCCATATGTATTGTTAAATATTAAAGAAGACAAATGTGATAGCCACATATAATACTGAAAACACAGTCTTATTCCCATCTCTTCCTTAGACTGCTAAAGTTGCTGCCTCTGACTGGACATTTTTACACTGCTTGCCCAGAAAACCAGAAGAAGTGGATGATGAAGTGTTTTATTCTCCACGATCTCTAGTATTCCCAGAGGCTGAAAACAGAAAGTGGACAATCATGGTAAGCAAGAAATAGGGAATGGCGAATAAGGAGTTCTCTCTGTGGCCCTAAGTAGGTCATTCATGCCTTTTGTCAAACCATTAGCAACTGAGATTATCCACCTACTTTACTTGCTTATATGGCATCTGTTTTCTTTCCAGAAAGCTCATAACTGATTATTATTGCTTATTATCACTTACAGTGTATTTTAATTGAGTAAAATTAACCCCACTCCAAAATTATCTATTTTAATTGAAATTCTTAATCCTCTTTATCGGTCTGAGCACCAGCCACCATTGCCTGCCAACAGTTACAAGTCATATAATTCTTATTTTACAGTCCCCTTGTTAATGTTTATAGAGGCCCTTATTCAGTGCCTGCCACAAAATAAGCATTTAAAGTAATCTTATTTCCTTCTTCTTCTCTTTCTTGCTTTCATAACTTGCTTAGATAATTGTTTCTCTACTTGACTTTGGCCACAAAGACACATTTGCTTTTAGGTATGGAACATTTCTAGAGTTGCAGCAAAACTAACAAAAATTATTGGTCCCTTTAACATAATGCTGCTAATTTCATCTTCATCACTGCTATTCTGGGAAATACTAATCTCAAGTCTTTGCTTTACAATATCCCAAATGTCACCTTCTTTTCTGGAAAACTGAATACTTAAGTGCAGTAATTTAGTAGCATCGTTTTTTTTTGTTTTGTTTTTGGCTTTTAGTAATTTAACTAATCTTAATTACTATATTAGCCAGGTTTTATTGGCAAACAATAGAGTCTATTCTAGGTAGATAAATGGAAAGAAAATTATTGAAAAACATTAAGCAGCTCCCAGAATATCTGAGGAAAGAGGGTGTAGCAAATCATTCTTGGATACCACACATTCAGAAACAACACAGGCAGGAGAATTGCCCAACAAAACAGTGGTACTTTATAGCCAAAACACCAATGACACAACAATCCATAAGCTGGTAAGTAAGGCCTTTGAAACTAAATGCTAGATACTGCATTATAGCTGCCCCAGCTGAACTAGATACCTCTACCATGCACTATAAGATCCGTTCTCCCAGAGAAAGGCTTCCACTGCATTTAGTTCACTTATGGCTCCAAGTCTTGAATAGATACAGCTAAGTGGCATGTCTGCATCCTAACTGCTAGGTAGTTTGGGAAATATAGTTTATAGCTTTCAGTCTCCAGAGTAGTGAAAAACAAGGTGGCAAGTACTATCTGCTAATTATCTATTCTGTAAGTGAGGATTTATAAAATTACTGTGAATATTAAAATAATACATATAAAACAGTATGGCACCTAATAAACTGTAAATACTCTTATTATCATTATCACCATCAGCATCTTCATTGTTGGTCAAATACAGTGACCAGCAGAAATTCAAGGTCCACTATGGCTGTTTGGAAGCCAATAGCAACTCCCTTTGCAATGGAAAGTTGTATATCAGGCCTAAATTTGTCATATTTAATAAGAAGGATGATATTTTTACTGTACCTTCTAGCTTGCCACTTCAGGGTGCTAACTGTGACTAGCTGGCAGATGCCATGTCATATAGATCAGTGCTTCTGAAACATTAATGTCCATTTGAATCACCTAAAGTTCTTGTTAAAGTGCAAGTTTGGATTCAGTGAGTCTGAGGTGAGGGCCAAGGTTTAACATTTCTAACAAGACCCAGGTAATGCAGATACTGCTCTCCTGTGGACCACATTTGAGGAGCAAAGATCTAGATGATTGTTGCGCGTGGGTCACCGGCTAGCAGTGACCACGGCACACTGTGGATGGCTCGACGATAAACACGCGAGAAAAAACATGCACAGAGACAAACTAGTTTCTGTGGAGAAGTAGGGACGAAATGGCCACCCCTTCTAGTGAGGAGCGCGCCGATTTACAGTCCATACCTGCTTTTATTGGGCTCATGCTACATAATAACTCAGGTAACGTACAATACTCATTAGGGGAAGTAAGGAATATATAAAACAAAGAACTCTGCCGGTCTATTGAGTTGGGGGTCAAAGAGCTGTAAGGCTGAGGAACAAACTAGCTTCCTCCTAAGACCCTCCTCATTCAACTAAGAGCATTCTTGGACAAAGAAGGTTTCACAGTAATTTACATGTTCTTTCTTAGGCCTGATCACCCCGGGAAATCCGCACTTCCCAGTACCGAGCTGTACTTCCCCGTCATTGTTTCAGGCTTAGGTGGAGCGCGGGAACTAAAGCCACCGAGAGATAAGGAGATTTTCTTCCGGACGCTGAGAACTCAGACTTTGTCAGAGCCGAGGAGTGAGGGTCCATCACCCCCTTTTGCTGCAGCCCCCCCAAGTCCTTCTTTTGGGGGGCCTCCCCAAAAGTGATCGTGCCTGGCTTGGGTTGTTCCCCCGTGGGGAATCTTACCCGTCTTTGGCTAACCGACCAAGCTTTTTTTGGGGTTCAGCAGCAGAAACAGCATTACTGCCAGGGAGATAAGCCTTTGTCTCCTTGCTGGCTCACGGTTCCAAGGGCGTTCCCTTAGCTTTAGCCTAGGCGGGGGTCTCAGCTTCTAATACCAGTCAGGGCGGTTCCCAACAGATGATGAAAAAGAAACTGTGTGAGCAAACAACAGAATATAAAAGGTAGAATCACCATAAACCAGACAAGCAGACCACAGCAAGCATCCACAGACAATATTTTTTTAAAATGAAGAAAGAAAAATGATGCTTTGATAACTGCTCAGGCAATATGCCTACTCAGAAAAGGCTTGAAAAAAAAAATGTGAGCTGTCCAACCATATACCTCAGGAAGCAACATAGCAAAAAATACTTTCCTCAAGCTCTAGTCTTTATCAGAGTATGGTTGGAGTTACAAAAATAAATCAACCTAAATCTGCTAAAATAGTTTCTTTTAGAAATTAGGGGGGTCAGAGGAGAAACTAAAAGAAAGCTTTCTAAGATATCATTTATGGAGGAGCTCTGCACTTTCTCAAGTTTTAAAGAGCTTATTTAACAACATCTTGGAATTTACCTTAAAAATTAAATACGTAATATATTCACATGGTTGAAATGTTTATAAGAATATAAGTATATAAATATATGTGTATACATACATACATACACACATACATACACACAATGAAATCTTCTGCCTACCCATTTTCCATCCTTGTATGTTCTAAAACTATTTCTCCATTCCCCCAAATTCCTGAGGTACCCACTGTTATTAGGGGAAATTATATTTTAAACAAGAAGCATAGCTATGTTAAAATAAAGGTAAAGAGTCTAAAATACAAAGAATACTTAAGCAGGAGTGAGAAGACTTGAATTCTATAATTTTCTTTAATACTAGTCAGCTGTGTCATCTTAGATAACTATTACCTCTCTAGGTTCCAGTTTCCTCATATATAAAATGGGAGGATCATTCTGTATAGATGGGAAATTATTTTTAAACTTAGGTCCTCAATACCATCAGTAGACTATTTGGAGTACTATATTTGGAGGGTTCTAAGCTTGCTTGAGGTTTTGTAAAGAAAGAGTGGCATGGCTGACTAGTGATGCCTAACATAGATTCTGGAAAGAAGTGATGACACACACGATGCACTCTATGTTTCTAAGCTAGATAATTTGGACAGTCCACTGAGTTAAGCTCACTTCAGCAATCATATGCTGAACATCCACTGTGTGCCAGATTCTCTGCCAGGCATTGGAGATTTAAAAATGAATATTGGGCCCCTGCAGCCTCCACAGTTCATAAAAGCATAGTATTTTCAAGTGGGATGAGACTTTAGAGACTGTAGAGTCTAAATTCTTATTTTATAGACAAAGAAAATATTCTTAGCTTATTTAGAATGGGATTTAGTCTCAGCACTTCTTTGTTATATTTTTCTGGGATATTTTAAAGGCACAATACTTATTTTCCTCTAGAATTGTCTTTTTTAAAAAATTATTTTATTGCTGTTCAATTACAGTTGTCTGTATTTCCCCCAAACCCACCTCCCTCCCTTGCTTCCATCCTCCCCCTTGTTTTGTCCATGTGTCCTTTATAGTAGTTCCTGAAAACCCTTCTCCCCTCTGTCCCCCTCCTCCCCCTCTGGCTAGGCTATTGTTAGATTGTTCTTATTTTCAATGACTCTGGTTATATTTTGTTTGTTTTTTTCTTTTGTCGATTATGCTCCAGTTAAAGGTGAGATCATATGGTATTTGTCCCTCACTGCCTGGCTTGTTTCGCTTAGCATAATGCTTTCCAGCTCCATCCATGCTATTGCAAAGGGTAGGAGCTCCTTCTTTCTTTCTGCTATGTAGAATTCCATTGTGTAAATGTACCATAGTTTTTTGATCCACTCATTTGCTGATGGGCACTTTAGGTTGCTTCCAGCACTTGGCTATTGTAAATTGTGCTGCCATGAACATTCTAGAATTTTCTTATCTGATACAGTAGCTACTAGGTGCATGTGGCTATTTAGATTTAAACTTCTACTAGTTAAACTATAATAAAATTTAAGATTCAATTCCTCAGGCATACTAACCACATTTTAAGTATGTTTTATTGATTACACTATTATATTACAGTTATCCATTTTTTCTTCCCTTTATCCCCCTCCATCCTGCAAGTCCCCTCCCTCCAACATTCCTCCACCCTTAGTTCATGACCATGGGTTGTACAAATAAATTCTTTGACTTTTCCATTTCCTATGCTATTCTGTTCTGGCTCTGAATGTTTATTTCTTCCTTCTGTTCCAAATCTTTTATTTGAGTCTCAGTTTCCTTCCCTTCACTGTTGGTTCCCTGTGTATTTTCCTTTAGTTCACTTTTAATAGCCTTCACTTCTTCCTCTATTTTTTGACCATACTCAATCATTTCTGTGAGCATCCTGATAACCAGTGTTGTGAAGTCTGCATCTAATATATTGGCTATCTCCTCATTGCTTAGTTTCTTTTTCTGGAGTTTTGATCTGTTCTTTCATTTGGGCCACATTTCTCTGTCTCTGCACACCTGTTACATTGTAAGGGGTGGAGCCTTAGGTATTCTCCAGGGCAGGGCAATC